AGCTGTTGACTGCTCCTTTACTCAAAAGGGTATTTAAAATGATAATAAAATAAATTCCAACAAGGGCTTTAGAAGAAGGGCAGATGTGTGAAAGTTGTGAGTTCTTCATGTGGCAGATGGGACTTAATATGGTAACTTTCATTTCTCAAACATGTCCTGGAGAAGCTGGACTCTGCTTTATAGCTGTTCATAATTAATTGTAAAAAATAATCAAAATCAGAAAGGCTTTATTGTCATTGCACAGAAGCACAACAAAATTTAATTTCAGTACAGAAGTCCAGAGAAACAAAACGAACAACATAAAACATGGGTAGATGGGTGCCTGAGGCTGCAGCCTCATGGGAGGCGCTGCCCTTTTTCGCTCTTTAATTTTCTGAATAAAACAAAATATTTAAAACCTTTTCAGAGGTTATTGTTTAAATGTTGTTTTCATTTATGTTCCGCTTGTAATGTTTCAGAGATCTACGGTAAATAGGCTCAGTCCAACGTTGAATTCAGTTTCAAAGACGAGCTACAAAAACAAAAAACAAACAAACAAACAAAAAAAACATGTTATATTGCATTTTGAACAGCACTTGTTACCAGGCAGGAAAGTCTGCTGTACGTTCAAGAAGATCCAGGGATAATCCAGTGCCATGGTGTTCTCATGATTAACTGTCTCGTGCATGTTTTTGTTTGACCACTTGCCAATGCAGAGCAGCATAGACTAACGTAAGCCCCTTATGGTTAAGCTGGTACCGTTTTAGGCAGGTGCTTATTATAAACAGCCAGGATTTTCCCCTAAAGGGACTTCTCTTAGTTCATTAAGGCTTTATGGTCTTACACCTCTTCTTAGCTGCACAACGTTCAGTTCGTTGCTAAATTGAGACAGTCCAGTGTTTGCTATTTACAGAAACTCTGACACTGAGCCAGTTAGGGCTGCAAAGGAGAATCATTGTAAGCATGAAAATACTTGGTGTATTTATACTTTTAAAAACAATGCTTGGTTTAACTCCCTCGAAACAGACACTTCAGTATGATAAACTGTAAGAAAGTTAGTTGTCACATCATCCCTATTCTGCAAAATCCCCGCTAAAGTTTTTGGCTTGTTGTATTTTGAGTCTGTAACTTTTGAATGCTGCTTCCACCATTTAAAAGGACATAAATTAAAAGATAGTTTAAGTCTTGAGAGTTTGGGTTTATCAATAACTCTTTAAACAGCCTCAGTTTGGGAGTTTCGTTCTGACTGGATTAACAAGACTACCAAGACTAAAGAGGTTTGTGGTCATCTTAGAACCACTCCAGTTTTAACAATTTCATAGTGGCTCATGAAAATGTATTTTTATTCACTTTTAGATTGCCATTATTTTTGTATTACACAATTATCCTGGCAGAAATATTATGATATCCCTACATAGAGTACCACTGACTGCACTAGAAGTATTAAAAGGCTAGCTGCCTTGATTTTCATTTTTAAATATTTATAACATTTTTATGTAAATAGGTGTAAGGAAAACTGATGGCAATAAAGAAGTAAAATAATTAGCACATAAATCATTATAAAATATTTGAGTCTGGAGCTGTTTTCAACAACAACAAAAAACAAGACAGAACTAGCAATGGCAGAGCAGATATAGAACAAAAACAGGGCAGAAGTAGCAAAAGCAGAGCACAACGGGCATTATCCATCCATCCATTATCTTTACCCGTTTATTCCATTTTGGGTCACGGGGGTCGCTGGTGCCCATGTCCAGCAATCACTGTGCGAGGGGCGGGGTACACCCTGGACGGGTCGCAAGTCCATCACAGGGCCACATAGAGACAAACGAGACAAACAACCATTCACTCTCTCACTCACACCTAGGGACAATTTAGAGTTACCAATCAGCCTAACATGCATGTTTTTGGTCTGTGGGAGGAAACCGGAGTACCCGGAGAAAACCCACGCATGCATGGAGAGAACATGCAAACTCCACCCAGAAGGCACCTGGACCGGGGTTTGAACCAAGGACCTGTTCGCTGAGAGGCAGCAGCTCTACCAGTTGCGCCACCGTGCTGCCCACAACGGGCATTAACAGGTTAAAATTAGCTTCAAAGGGGAAGAATGTTAGTACAAAGCAGGGCAGAAGTAGCAAACAAAAACCAAAATAGTCCATGCTCAATAATCCAGGTATACAATCCAACAATTTTCAGTCAGTTTATCTGGACAGTTTCTTTTTTTTTGCTGAAATGTTTCAGCAAAAAAAAAAAAAGAAACTGTCCAGATGACCTGACTGAAAATTGTTGGATAGCACAAAAAAAGGTTTAATATATGAAAAATTGCAGAACGAGTTGTGCTGAAAACATACGGAGTTAGTTTTATTTTTCTTTTGGCTGCTCCCTTCTTCAGGGGTCACCACATCAAGCTAACTCACATGAAGACTTGACATTTATTTTTATGCCAGATGCCCTTCCTGATGCAAACACAGACCACTGAGCTACCACAACCCTGAGCTGCCAGCATCTGGGGGAGCAGATGGTGGGCGTTAGGGGCCTTGCTCAAGGGCCCAGAGTGGGGCAAATGAGGCTGGAGGCAGGTGTGGGTGCTTCACCAATCCCACACACATTTAGATGTTGTTAGAGTTGTACCAGCCTTCTTCCGATTGCAGGCCCACCTTCTCTAACCTGTGCGCCACCACTCCCTATAAGGAATAGTTAAAGTAACAATTAAAAATAAAGATAAACGGGAGAACAATTTTGTGAATGCTTAATTGGCATTCGTTCTAACAATAAAATCAATAAAGCTATGACAAAACAAATAAAAAACAATAAAAGCCCTAGAATGCTGAGCAACATCAGACATACACATAAAGTTCTTAATGTATACTTATACTTATATTCTGTAATGAACCTCCCATCAAGCTTGGTTAAGGGTATGTGGGGCACATTGGTGAGCCGGTGCACAACTGCAGATACTTTCTTGATTTACAAACTGTTTTCTGACAGTATAATATGCATACACAATGAACAAGACAGACATAAATGGAAAAAAAAAAAAACGTTGCATTTTCAAGAGTTTATGAGTTAATATAGCCTAAACTGAAGTGCTGGTTTGGTTAAGTTGAACAATTAATGGTAAAACACTGGGGCCCTTGGCTGAGTTTTATTTATTTATTTTTTCTGAAATATATGGTGGGCAATATCCAAGAATGCCCATAAAGCACTTAGCAAAATGGCGGCACAAATTCTCCTCTCGTTAGCATAGTTGCTCTGAGGCTCGTCATTCCAGTGTACTGTATCTCTATTTCAGTGATCCTAACTTTCACATTAATCATCTAAATTAGTGATCCCAGCAGAGTAGACTTTCCCAATTCAAATTTCAATAAATATGTTCTGCTCAGCAGAAATGGAATCCCTTCGGTTTTTATCTCTGCTGTCAAATGCTTTACATCCCAACAAAGCTCATGACTTTCTCATTTGACCCTGTTTAGACATTATTTTTTACATTATACTACAGAACATGCAACGTTAATTCATCAAATTACAACTATCGTATTAGTAATTTTCTGCTAAACAGCCATGTTCTGACAACACGGCAGGAGTGAAATGAAGTTTCTACTTCTCAGTCATGTGACGCACAAAGCACATTTACTAAAGTCATCACAGACTGAGGGTTAAGAAGATGCATCATTGGATTGGGATGGTCTTGCGTTTATTTGTTTTATGGCGTCTGTGGTTGGTGGTCGGCAAATATCTGCTGAGTAGTGAGAGGCAGAGCAGTAAATGTGGGCCTGAGCAGCTTCCCACATGATTTTATGCTCTTGCTAATGGAGTAGGAGGGATGTAGGAGGGGTGAACGAGGAGGACAAAAATAAGAAGTTAGGGATGATCATAACCATATGGAGAGGGTGTTTTTCAGAGAGGGAAAGACTGAGCAAGAGCAGAAGGGAGTAGAGGGTGATGAAAAAATGCTTCATATGGAGCCAAGGTGAAAATATGTCAACAAAGGCTAAATTGTCTGAAGATAAAGATGTTTAAAAGTAAGACGAGGCGATGGATTTACCAAATGTGATTTATCCTGTAAGCGGGAAGCAGTTTGTTTCCTTTTAAACGTTGAGGAAAGAGCCAGAAAAGGAAGCAGAGGCATGCAGGAAGAAGAAAACAGCCAGGAGAAGAGAAGCAGAAAGAGGAAGCAGTTTGCTGTTTCACAAACTGGTGGTGTCGTTGAGCCCCTCACAAGAATCCTCCTGGTTCTGTCCTACATCTGGAATGTCGAGTCACTTCCTCTGTCTGCCTGCAGCGAGGTTGTCCTTTGTTTTTCAGCTCCCACCCTCTGCTCTGACAGCAACCTGAAGAAGCGCTGGAGCCCACACCAGCCCAGATGAGACTCTTCTGACTGGACGCAAACCACCGAGACCGCAGGAGTTAGCCTGTTCAGACCTTCTCTATTGGGACTTGGAGGAAAAAACAGCAACAACTGCCATCACCAGCTGAACCTACTGGAGGGTGTTCCTATTCCCTTATATGGCAACAGATCTGAGAAATCATTTGAATTGGTTTGGTTTCTGTTGCACATCTGTCTGGTCTTAATGCTGACTGACTCCCATCTGGTATGCTGCTGAATGTGAGAGTGTGGGCGCTCGATTTGTTTGTTTTGCCACTCTTGGTTTTCCCTTTCCCGTTGTTCGCATGCAGACCTTTTGTTTTGGTGCAAGAGGAGGGCTAGCGTTTGTGGTTAAGCTCGAGGCAGCGTCATTGCCTCAGGAGAGGCAGCTTCATTCAGACTCTGCAGTTTTCCCCTTCTCTTCTCTCCCATATTCATCTGTGATGGTCCGTATTTGTTGGATCAGCAGACACACACCTGGGCGCAGCTACTCACAACCTAAACCAGGAACTGGGTCTTTTTAGAGGAGGATATAATCAGAATGGAGGACTGGAGCATTTGCTGAGTGGGATGAGAGTTGACTGGGAGTGCTAATGGGTGAACCAGAAGCAGCCAGGAAGGACCCGGGAAGTGTTAGCTGATACGGTTTGACGCTTGGGTCATGATGAAAAGGATCATGGGAAAGTTTTGAACACTTGAACAGACCAGTCAGCATGCTCTGATGCTGATGACTGACTTCCAGAACAATGCCCGTCTGTGCAAGTGTGACAGCAAACCTGGAAGCTCTGCAGAGTTCATAACCTCATGTGGATTTTTCTTATGAACACGTCTCTTATGAAAAACGACCATGGCTTCGGCAGCGTGGTATCACCGTGACATCAGTCGTGTGCGTGCAGAGGACTTGTTGGCACGGGCAGGGAGGGATGGCAGCTACCTGGTGAGAGACAGTGAGTCTGTGCCAGGAGCCTATGCATTGTGCCTGCTGTAAGTACACACACACTCACATTCTTGTAAACATACTTTCTGGGGACTTTGCATTGACTTGCATTCATTTTCTATAGCCTAACCCTGACCTTTACCCTAAATCTAATCTAGTACATGCCTAACTCTAACCTATCTGCAATTCACACCTTAGTCCTAAACTTAACCCGTGACCCCCCAACGAGACTATGGGGACTATAAAGAGCAGTTGATTCCCACAATGCATGATTTAAAAAAAAAAAAGTCCCTACAAGGCAATCTGAAAGAAAAATGCATGCACACACACACACACACACACACACACACACACAGATAAAAAAAATAAAAGTTTAGATTATAATAAAATTTTTTGGTAAATGGAATTAAAATGGTTTCAGTTGTGCACTAATTTAATAAATATTTTGTTGTAATTTTTCTGCTTCATCTCTTTGAAAATATTCATTCAATTCAGTTCAGTTTATTTATATAGCGCCAAGTTGCAACAGAAGTCATCTCAGGGCACTGAGTCAGCTGATTGCTGACATACCGATTACTGTTCAATATGCCACCTCAATGAGGAGTGAGGACAGAGAATTGTTACCACATGAAAAACATTTTTAATTGCAAGCCCATCATTCTTTGAAGGAATGCCTTGTGTCTTCCGTCTCTCCTCCCACAGTTTTACATTAAGATCATCTTACTGTTGAGAGATGACAGAGTTGTAACTATCTGGGGCAACTCTTGAAAATTGTACAACGAAAACTAATATTTTGCGTGATCTGTTAGCAGATAGAGCACATGTTGTGAATGACACCAGATTTTTACACATATAATCTACTAATAATCTGACACTATTAGTAAATTGATTGAGCAGCTCCGCTCAGCTTGTCCCATCCATCATCTTACATCATCACTATCATCATTTGCCATCAGGCTGCAGTGTAGATGTCAATCATTTCAACTGCTCCGTCCAGAAAAGACTCTTCCAGGCAGTCAAACCCAAACTTATGACTCCGTGTTTCCCCTCTTATCCCCTTTTTTCCTCCTCGGGGCCCCTTAAAGTGGGCTGTCCAGCAACCGCACTACGCCGACTGCTCTCCGGTCCCAGCCAGATGCATTCCTGAAAGCTGAGCCTGGCTGCTCACAGTGGAGTCTCTTTCCTTTCATTCTTTTCTCTGTATATCATCCTCTTTTTGTTTTCACTCCCTTTAATTGCCACCACAGATCTTTGTTTCCCATGCTGACAATAAGACGTTTTTTTTTCAAAAAGTCTTTCATTTTACATTAAAAAATAAGCCACAACAGCATTCATTTAAAGAACAACTACTACCTTGTTCTTGTAAAATATTATTTCTATTCATTCCAAATATAGTGATGAACAGTTTCACTTTGATGGTGGGTTTTGATAAATGTAATGTTACTATAACATTTATTTTTACAGATTCCAACGCCATGTTCACACTTATCGTATTCTTCCTGACGCAGACGGTCTTCTGGCAGTTCAGGTGAGCAATAATTGCCGCACTTGATGCTCTGATGGAGAAACAAAACAGCAGAATTATCATTTTTACAAAATATCTAGAAAATATTTAATAAAATTAATTTTAAAAGTGCCAAGTGCGAACCAAAAATCCAACATAACTACCGTATTTTTCGGACAATAAGGCGCACCGGATTATTGTAAGCCGCATTTAGCGAAACAAAACAGTCAGATAAATTAAACTTTATTCAACTCATTCACAATAACCACATAAAATCGGTTCGAGGTCAATAAGCACAACCAGAATTAATACATAAGATGCATCTGATTATAAAGCTCACTGTTGATTTTTGAGAAAATTAAAGGATTTTAAGTGCGCCTTACAGTCTGAAAAATGCTTAAACTTTAAGTAACATATAGTAAAATGTTATTTTATGCATGCAAAGTCCAGTTTTTCTTGACCTGGTTTAAAAATTGAAATGTTTTTACTGTCAGGTCTGAGCTATAGAGCTCCAAATAGGGCTTAGTTTTCTCCTATATTTTGCCAAAACCACATTGAAGATCATTTTCTCTCACATTATTATATTTTGCCAATTTTTCCTCGTGATAAATGATGACTGCTACCAAAAGTAATATGTCATGCTAACTTAGTTATTGGGCTTGGTACATGAAGTTGTGCGACAAGATACAGGACATGTTTAATAAACCAAATAGTAAAAATAATAATAATACAGTAGTTGTGCTTTAGTGTTTGTGTAGCCTTAATCAAAAAATACGTCTGAAACATCAGAAACGCTGCCAGTCAGAAGCTGTGTCATAAAGTACCAAGCATTTGTTTATTCCGTGTTGCATGGAGAACAGGAGCATGTTTGTGTCCCTGCACACCCCCACCCCAGACTCTGTTACGGCTGCAATCACTTTGTTGTTTGAATGACATCCCTGCCATGTGGCTGCATGTTTGCAGCAAGAGCTCAGCTGCACAGAGGAGAAATTGTTTTCATGTCTCAGAAATTCCTACTCGGCCCACGCACTAATTCACCAAAGGGTGCTTATTTATTATGCACATGCTTGGGGGGGGGGGGGGGGGGTGTTTGTTTTAGACACAATGAGTTGGATGAGGCAAAGTCTGAGGCAGAAATATGAAAATCTTTGCAGTTGCGGCCAAATGAACTGTTCATTAAACTATATTAACACTCCACACACAAACACTATGTTTGCACACAAATAAACAAAAGAGGGCAAGAAATTTAACTTCATTTGAAATTTGTCTGAATATTAAAGTTTAAAACCCGAAATAAGTTTAATACCAGGAGCTTTTTTTTTTCATTCAACTTTTATTTAGACAGGTAAATCCCATTGAGCCTCGAGGACTCATTTACAAGATAGACCTGATTTCAACAAAGAATGATGACAACAATGGACAACAGCGACAAGAATAAACAGTTGTAAAAAGTCATACAGATTTTTTTTTATTAATTTTTTTAACAAATAGGATGGCTAAAAAAAGAAAAGTAACAACAACAAAAAACAGCTAGATTTAAAGCCTTTGAAGCCTTTGATGTGGAAAATGTCTAAACTTTCCATGAGGATGTTAAACTTTGCAGCTTTTTCTGTTGTTTTTCCACTGCCATCAGTAAAAAGCTGCAGTCTGTGTTTTCTCTGCACACCCCACACCCCTGTTGGATTTGCTCCACTAACTCACAGAAGTCGCGTGCTTTCCTTTTCGCTTTTCCAAGAAAGCCGTAGAGATATTTCGGGGGTCACTTTTTTGTCTTTCGCTCTCTTGAAGCCTCTTTCTCCTTTTTATTCCCCTTTAGATTGCTTTTCAAGAGATATTTGTGGGTTTAAAAAATACTATTTGAAGACTTCCTGGCAAAACAGACAGGTCGCTCGAGCCAAAAGCTGGTTTCTCCCACCACAAAATGAAAACTAAAAATTCTAAAAAGAGGGCGCAGGAAAGGGCTTGCTCTGCGCTGTGGTCTAATGTGAACCATTTTAAATTGGTACATGTGAATGTGAGTGTGTGATCTTATTTTCTGACTGCAAGGCTTCAAGTTTGATTGAAGAGCACAGTTGTATGAATTTGTATGCAAACTGTGAGAGCAGGCTTGTTTGTCTATGTGGCGTGTTGAGACATTTTCCTTAAAGAGGTGCATTTTTTGTTTTAACCCATTGTGAATGTTGCATTATGGGTAAAAGAAAGCGCTTTCGTCACTGCTTCTCTGGGCCACAGCTTTCTGCATCCCTCTGGGACGTGTCATTTCACAGCACATCATCTGCATGCATCTTTTTCTGTCATGCAAAGAAATACCTCTGCTTTGCTTCACCAAGCATGATTTTGGAAGAGGAAGAGAGTGCGAGGTGGCATCCTGTGTGAAACATCAACATACATAAATAATAAATGAAAAGTTAAGGTAAAATTGGTCTTTGTCTTTAAATTAGAGTCAAATGATCACATATAATTTACAGTTATAAAAAAATTTAAATGCATTTCTCTTATTATTGTGGTGAATTTGACCTTTTGTTGCATTTATTTCCCAATGTTTGGTAGAAAGCTACTTTTCTGATTCTGATTAAAGGTCCATCATTCCTTGAAGGAACACATATCACCCTTTCATGCTGGAGTTTAAACAACGATCATCCTATGTAGTGAAACTACAAAGTTGTACCTACTTTGGTCAGATTTTTAAACCAAAAGTTATGCGCAATAGCGCGAGATGTCACGTTAGGAGTGCGTGGTGTGAATGACTCTCAGCTACTAACACATCCAACTTGAGTTCAATATCTGTAAAACTGGCTGAGCTAATGTTTAGCTGTGACGGTCGCACACAGACATGAGCAAGAACATCCCCAACCTTTGCTTTTGATATTAATCATTTTAAATAATTGATCCAAATGCAATAGTATTTCTTTATCCAAGAGGAACTGCCACAGAAGTTTAATGTTTCTGTCCTTCCGTTAGTTTGTAGACGTTCATGTGTGTGCAGAACTTGAACCAAGCATGCTACTGTCATGTCTGCCTGTTCCACAGACAACACAGGGGATCCAGGTGAACTGTTTCCGGACCATTGAGGATTTGGTGTTGGGGTACCAGCAGCCCCACAAAGGCCTGGTCATCCCTCTCCTCTACCCGGTCCCCCCGGACACAGACACAGGGAAGGAGAGCTCAGGTAAGTCACACTCTGTGCTCTCTTTTATTCATTGCTTTTCCCACAGATTTTCTGTTTGATCTTTGGTTCTGGACATTTTCATGGAAACATGTGTTTGCTAAAAATTTAGCACTGACCTATTTACTGTACATATGATTAATTCAGGGCAGCATGGTGGCACAACTGGTAGAGCTGCTGCCTCTCAGCGAGCAGGTCCCTGGTTCAAACCCCGGTCCAGGGGCCTTTCTGGGTGGAGTTTGCATGTTCTCTCCGTGCATGCGTGGGTTTTCTCCGGGTACTCCAGTTTCCTCCCACAGACCCAAAAACATGCATGTTAGGCTGATTGGTAACTCTAAATTGTCCCTAGGTGTGAGTGAGAGAGTGAATGGTTGTTTGTCTCGTTTGTCTCTATGTGGCCCTGTGATGGACTTGCAACCCGTCCAGGGTGTACCCCGCCCCTCGCACAGTGATTGCTGGACATGGGCACCGGCGACCCCCGTGACCCAAAATGGAACAAGCGGGTAAAGATAATGGATGGATGATTAATTCAGACTTTAAAATGCTTCGAAATTCAACCGACAGCCCAGCGCTGTGTCTAATTTTAACTTAATTAGATTTACACGCAACGTTGTTACCAGCAGCTGGCCCTTAAAGTACAACTTATTCATATTTCTTTAGCTGATACGTTGAACAATACTAGTTTGACACAGAAAATATAATTTTAACACTGACGAGGTGGTTCCCAAAAGTGTTTTAGCTGAAAACTTGTCATCCAGTCTGTGATCAGCTGAAGGATGAAGCACCTCTAAAGTCCTGTTTCAGGTCTTTGATGAACATTTTTCTTTTTTCTTAATGACTTGATTATTATGTACTGTTCTTTTTGGACCTTTTTCTTTTTCTTTTCTCCTCCACTTGACCACATTTCTCATTTATTTAAGCACACACCCCACAATAAGAGGTCATGGTCAACTGAGCAGGATGTGAGTGATAAAGCAGCCAAAGTCTAAAGATAAACTTTAAAAGATCTACAGAAAACCTATTAGTTAATAATTAATCAAGACCACTGCAGTGATTTTAAACCTCTGAGCAGGACTGTATTATATTTGCACAATTTCAAACATTACATAGAGAAAATTGTGAATTTTGTCTTTTTTAAATGACTTTTACGTATGTTCTTTGCTGCTTGTTTATAATGCTGATTATTTATTTATTTTGCACAGATGATGAGAAGCCAACTCCAGTCTCCATCAACAACGTGTCCTTCACAGGACCACCAGCAAAACCAGCCCCACATGCCATTTTCTTGGAGAAGTTGCAGGAACTGAACACATCCAAGTAATATTCTTTGACTCTTTTAAACAAGAATTGGCGATTACTTTATTAAAGCAGCCAAAAGTGACGACCCTGTTATGGTCTGCATATCTGCACGTTTCATTTTAACTAACAAAAGCAGTCTACCTGAGGTCTGAATCTTCTGAAGCATGAAACTTTATACTGATTCATATTGACACCCCTTTATGTGTTCAGCTGATCCAACTACTTCTGCACCTGCTGGCAGTCAGGCATGGCAGCCACTTGTGAAACACTGTCCCCACGACTGTTTCTGCCATATTAATAAAAACCATCTCTCACTGCAGTGATCTGGTATGCTGAGCTTAGTTTCCCACAAGTTTCAGAACTTAAAAAAAGTTCCCTGTGAGATGACAACTTCAACTGATTCAACGTCCAGAAAAACTCATACAGATGCACAGATTTTATGCATTATTTAGTCTGACGTTTGTCTGATTTGTTTGTTTGAAGGGCTGCAGGTGAGGTGATCGGCCTGCTCAACAACTACCTCTTCAGTGAGCTGCCCCTCGACATGGAAAACGTGCACAAAGGGGCGACAACTTTAAGGCATCTGAAGCGCACTCTGGCCTCTGCCTGCCAAGGCCTCAACAGGTCAGCAGATCTCCTGATTTGTTACAAACAGCTGTGACAGCGTTTACTGAATACAGTCACTGTTTGCTCGTATAGTGTAGTTTACTCGCATGGGTTATTCACAGTCAGTCATGGGAACTAAGGGCACTGTGGGTGCTACAGCACCCTCTTGTGGATTACAAGAAAAAAAAGCTTAAATTCTTTAAAAAATATTAAAAGCCTATCTACTGGTGTTATGTAAGTTTATAATCTTATAGCATTTTTTAAATTATGACTCAATGATGTTGAAATTAAGTTGCATTTTAGGGTTACATATGTTCTCACAGCAGCCCCATGTAAAACAAGTTCCCAAAGCTTGGTTTGTATTTTCAACCATGCTTTTGACAAAATGTCCCATACTGATTTGTAATAATTATTGGTTGGTTCTACAGTGAGATTGATCTCACGCTTGTGAGTCTGGAAACCTTGGCTAAAGTCTTCGACCATCCGTGCTGCCCTTTAGCACCCACTAAGACGCAGGTACCCGTTTTACAAACATGAAACAAAATTATAACTACTTGTTGTGTTTTGAACATGGTAACCCAGTCAGTACCTTTTAAGGGACAGTATAGACCTTTTGAAGTGTGGTTTGTGGAAAGTTGTAAACAATTAATATCTTACCTGCTGTAGATACTTTTTTGAACAACTCTTGGTTTGAAGATTGACATGCTAATGGCTGACCTGAGCAAGGCCAAGACCAAAATATTTTTCTACCATCCTTAAACAACTCTAGTCTCAAAACTTTCATAGCAGTTTATGTTTATACAAACTTTTAACACTTTACATTGCATTAAATTTTGCACTACATGTTTTTTTTTTTTTAATGGCAGAAATATTCTGCTATTCCTGCACAAAGTCCCCAAGGCTTCATCCAAAACATTACAGCTAGCTGCCGCTGCTATTTGTGACTTGCAAGCAACTAAAGGATTTTATGTAAGAAATTGTATCAAGGTTTGTGTAACAGCATTTGCATGAATCACAATAAGTTTTTGGAGGTTGGAGTTGTTTTTTCTAAACGAAGCAGCTCATGTTGGTCTTGGCCCTGGTTGGACTAGTCGTTATCTAATTATAGTAATCTGATCAGAATTATTCTTTATTAATTTCTTCAACCTTTGATTGCTCAAGAATACATATGATTTGTTCATAACCTTCCTACAGAATCCCACTCCAAAGATCTGAATTATTACTTGAAACAATAAAAGTTTTGCTTTGTATATCCATACCATACCACACCACACCATACCGTACCATATCATACCATACCACACCATACCATACCATACCATACCACACCACACTACACCATACCATATCATACCACACCACACCATACCGTACCATATCATACCATACCACACCATACCATACCACACCACACTACACCATACCATATCATACCACACCACACCATACCGTACCATATCATACCATACCACACCATACCACACCACACTACACCATACCATATCATACCACACCACACCACACCATACCATACCATGCCATACCATACCACACCATACCACACCATACCATACCACACTACACCACACCACATCATACCACACCACACCATACCACACCACATCATACCATACTACACCACACCATACCACACCACACCACACCACACCATACCACACCACACCACACCACACCATATCATACCATACCATACCACATCACACCACACCACACCACACCATACCACACCACACCATACCACTTTATTTATAAAGCACTTAAAACAGTAACAAGGCCAACCAAAGTGCTGAGTACACCCCCCACACACATCCATTGTGACCTTTTGTCTTGTGTTTTTGGTTCAAGTGTCCAGAGATGGAGATTGACAGCTTGCTATGTAAGATCTCAGCTTTGGTCAGCCTCCTTTCTTCATTAGAGAAAAAGGTGAGTTCACGTAGACGTTCTGGTAAATCACAGAATTGCAGAAATCTCATATTTAAGATCACTTTTCTTATTCGGACCATTTAGCATAACTACTTTGTCAATCAGTATTGTTACTTTTCTAGCAGTGTAATTTCCAAAAAACTATTAGAGTGCAGATACATGCCATAATTTATCATTAGTTGCTGTAAAAGACTTTTGACTGACATTAAGAAATTAGAACAAATAGGGAAAACACATTTTATTTGTAATGTGCCATTGTTCTATTGGAGTAACATAAGACTATTGTCTTCCTATGAAGGTATTAAAGGCGTTGCAAGAGGCTGTGACTAATCACAACCTGGCAGCGCAGCCTAGCCCAGCTCCTCCTGAACCAGTGCCTGCCACTGTAGCACCTGTGAAAATCCACACCAGACAGACGCCTGTGCACTCCTTTCAGGTAAATCAGGCTTTTGAATGTCCTCATCTTTTTTATTTCCTACAAGATGTGACAATGTGCTGCAAATCAGCTGATGCTCTGGGCCTCCATCTGCAGGTAAAGGTGATGAGGTACGGCAGACAAACCGTTTCTGTGGATGTGGACACGGGAGTGCTGCTGTTTGACAGGAAGCCTGGCTCGTTCGGTGTAGAAAGAGTTTCACACGACAGAAGTAAGAGAATATTTAAACCCTAGCATTCCTCATGCTTGCATTTACTTTAAATGATGTATTACTAACATTATGTCTGTGTACTGCGCTTTAAAATAGTTGGAGTTCACACGTCCAACGTTTGCCAAATTTTTCAACAATCGCAGCAAAGTTGAACACTTTGCTTCACTTTGCCACGTCTCTCATGCTTCAGTCCTCCAGGTTGTCAAGTTCCAAAACAGCCCGGCAAAGATCCGGATGGTGGTTGACAGCAACCACAACGCTCCACGGGAAATGACCTTTGAGAGTGCACGGGTAAGACAAAACAATAAGACTCATCTTTCAGTGGAATCTACTGACTGACCCTTGTTTTTTAATTACCTGTAGAAATGTAACTCCTTCTGCCATCTCCTCCTGCTGATGAAGACCACACACGCTCAGCTGGACCAGCCTGATCTGGTCTCTGTGTTTGTTGGCACCTGGAATATGGGTGAGCATGTATTTGTCAAGAGAAAAGTCACAAGTGCTGAGTTAGTGTTTAATTGTGTGATTGGCTGGCTTGTTGCCTTGTGTTTTGTTTGCAGGGGGTTCCCCTCCTCCTCGCAGCCTGCAGTCATGGGTGACCTGTTGTGGTCTGGGCCACACCCCAGACGACTCAACTGCGTTACTTCCTCATGATATCTACGCTATGGGAACTCAGGAAAACTCTCAAGGGGAAAAAGAGTGGACAGAGCACGTTAAAGCAACTCTACGCAGCTGCACTCAAGTTGACTTCAAGCTAGTAATTATTTTTTCATCATCTCTTTGTCAGCTTGGCTGGGGCTTTTTGAATTTGAAAGGTTTCACAGATGCCTGATTAAAAGTCAGTGAGATTAGTACGAGGGAAAAAAAATCAAGCGTTGTGCAGCTTTTAGGACAGTCTGATCAAATAGTTAGATTTAGATTAATTTTTTTGCAGTCTTTAAGAAATTTAAATCAAAATCAGATATGCAATCAATGAATTAACTGTTTTACTAACAAAAAGTCTGATTGCAGATTTGATATGTTTCATTTTATGATGAATACAGATTTAAAAGTCCAAAGTTACAATTTCACCTGCAGCAATTTGACACTTCAACTAAAAGGAAATAAAAAGAATTTCCAAGCCTTTATTGAAGTTTGTAAAAATAATCAACCAACTGTTTAAAAAACGTCACCACTTTACAGTTAAAATAATTTCAACTTTAGCTGTAAATTAGTGCATGTTTGAACATAAACCCCATCAATTTCATCATTAAAATATCAGGTTCAGTTTTTTGTAAAATGTTTAATGTCCTTTACATATTTATTAAGATGTATGAATTTTAAAACAAACTCATATATTCATTACAAAAATAATTTTGCACTAAGTAATTGTTAAAAAAAACAAAACAAAAAAAAAAACAATTATGTGTTTCTAAAAAATGAACACAGTTACCATTTTATTTTAAAATAGCTTACATTTGGTTTTTGAAGCATTTATAAGCATATAAAAATGTTTAAGAGCTTGGATTTTATTTTGTAAACTGTTGGCTGTGCTCCAATGGTAATCAACAAAATAAATAAATAAATAAATAAATCACGTCCACCAAAGTTTGAAAAGGAAGGAGCACATTTTATTATTATTATTATTATTATTATTATTATTATTATTAAACTTTTATTTATACAGGTACATAAAACATGTTTAAGAGTTTGGGTTTTATTTTGTAAACTGTTGGCTGTGCTCCAATGTTGATCATCAACATAAAAAAAACATTAAAAAATCACATCCACCCAGGTTTGAAAAGGAAGGAGCACATTTTATTATTATTTTTATTTAAACTTTATTTATACAGATAGTCTCATTGAGTCACGAGCGCTCATTTTCAAGAGAGACTTGTTTTAGACAGACAACACAAAGTGAATATATAATAAAATGAATATTTATGACAGATTTAAAAGGCTGTGCAGCCATGTAATACATGAAGTATACAGATATATTCACTGTACTTCACAAAGTAACACTTTTATCACTATTGTCAGGAATAACTGACACTTTCTCACAAGTTTAAATGGCATCCATGTAATTTTTATACTAAAAATACTTCCGGACCGAGTTCATATTTGCCTCATGGACAGAAAATACTTTACGTTACAAATATAACTTTACTCGGCATCATATCTGAAAGCGACAGCTTTGAAAAACTTCTCTTTTCAAAGCACAGATCATCACTGTGTGGAGCCTGATCTGTGTGGGACAAACAATACTTTGCTGTGATGTGACATGTTTTCCTGCAGGTGGCCGTGCAGTCCCTCTGGAACATGAGGCTGGCCGTGTTTGTGAAGCCTGAACATGAGAGTCGCATCAGTCATGTGAACGCAGCCAGTGTGAAGACTGGCTTTGGAAACACACTGGGTAGGCTTTGTTGTCTCACCGTCACAGCTGAACACACAACATGTAGAAATCAAACACGGCTATAGCATTCTTTGAAGGAACGCAAACGCCCGCCACTTTTCATGCCAAAGTTTTAAACAGAAATCTCACGTGCTTTATTAGTGCTCAAGTTATGTGTTGGGGATGACTCTCAGCTACTACCACACCAAATTTTGGCTTTGTTGCCAAAAAGCTAATCGATTTATAGCCACTTATGTGTTTATGAAGCCTGAATTGCTGAAGAGGCCATCTTGAGTTGGGTTGACTCCATAAGTTCATAAGTTGTAGTTGTACAACAAATGATTAATTTATGTAAGTTTTATTAAAATCCATTCAGTGGTTCATGAGATATTTCGCTAACAGACACCCACACAGTGACACATTAGTACATTGTCATTAAACAGCATGTTTAACATACACGGTTTTCATTGATATGGATTTTTTTTTTTTTTATATATTTATTTTTTGTCATTTTAGGGAATAAAGGAGCTGTTGGTGTTTCCTTCATTTTTAATGGGACATCGTTTGGGTTTGTTAACTGCCACCTGACGTCCGGAAGTGACAAAATACTAAGGTTCCTTTTGTGTTTATGTGTGAGAAACTTGTGTTTTTCTGTGCCTTTAAAAAAAAAAAATCTTATAAACTAACTAAGTCTCGCTTTTTAATCTAACACGGTCCAGGAGGAACCAGAACTTTGTGGACATCCTCAGATTTCTTGCTCTGGGTTACAAACCTCTTCACGGCTTTGATATCAGCCTGCGCTTCACCCACCTTTTCTGGTGCGGAGACCTCAACTACAGGCTTGACTTGGACGTCCAGGTCCGAGCCACTGTTCCTCTTTTTGTTTGGTCGTTCTAATTATCACCTGTGTGTTCATGTCTGTTACCAAAGTAGCTCATGAACCACAGGACGGATTTTTAATGAAACAGTCAGAAAGTACTCATTATTTGTCTTCTATGTCCAGGACATCCTAAAACACGTGTCCAAACGAGAGTTTGAGGAGCTCATGTGTGCAGACCAGTTAACTCGAGAAAGACACAAGAGGAAGGCCTTTTTCAATTTCAGTGAGCCTCAGCATCTAAACAAACAAATAAAAAGACATCTTACTTCAGCTCTGCGTTTGTTTATTTCACTTTTGCTTCACTGTTCTGTTTGTCATGGTTAAGAGGAAGAGAAAATTGCCTTTCCGCCCACTTATCGGTACGAAAGAGGCTCCAGAGACTGCTACCTGTGGCAGAAGTACAAGACGTCAGGGGTGAGTCCTGGTTTGTTACACAAAAACACAACACAAAAAGGACAAAGTATCAAACAATTCAGGAACAGTTTAGGATTATCCACGGATTGATGCCCACCCAATGTCTCAAAGCTTTGAAAGCTTAATCAGATAAACAGTGGAAGCCAACATGTGAATTCAAAAAACGTTCAATACAAAAGCACGTGGTGAACTTGATCTTCCGACGCACAGTTTTTTTTGTTTTTGTTGAGACGTTTCGTCCTTCATCCAAAGGGCTTCTTCAATCTGACGAGCGAGCCACCAAACAAACTGGTTCTCAAAAACAACACAAAAAGTGTTTTGTTTTTTTCCACTATGGAGTGTGCTGTTTGTGGGAATCAGATTGTTCTGTGGCTCCTCAGATTGAATAAGTCCTTTGGATGAAAGATGAAATGTCTCAGCATTAAAAACAAAAAACTCTTCCGATGACCTGACTGAACATTGTTGGATTTTTACCTGGATTATTGAGCATGAACTTTGGTGTTTTGAACCACTTTGGCATGACTGTCTCAGAAGAGTTGACGGGGGAGAGGGCGGGCCCCAGAGGCCATCTTAGCACCAGCAAACAGTTTTTTTTTTCCACTATGGCATATGATGTTTGTGGGAATCAGTTTGTTTGTGGCTCCTCAGATTGAAGAAGTCTTTTGGATGAAGGATAAATGTCTCAGCATAAAAAAAGAAACTGTCCAGATGAACTGACTGAACATTGTTGGATTCTATACCTGGATTATTGAGCGTGTACTTTGGTGTTGATCTTCTGACCTACCTTTAGGACACTTCTGCTCTATTTCAAATGCACACTCACTAAGATAATTTCTTTGTGACTTAATCCTATTTCTGGAACCTGTGGATAAATGACTGCTCTGATGACTAAAATAGCAGCTTAAGATTGACTCTTATGTCTAAAACAGGAATGTCTGACGCAACAGGAATGCATTCAGCCCACCGTGTGTGCACTATTTTACAAGTGTTTATTTTAAATGTAGATGTAGAAATGCACAGCTTGTCACTGTTTATGCAACGCTGAATACTTTCTCTGTAGGTGCGAGTTAACGTGCCATCGTGGTGCGATCGGGTTTTGTGGAAGTCCTACCCGGAGACGCACCTCATCTGCACCGCATATGGTGAGAGCTCGAGTTCCTCAGAACAGTAAAAATTTGGAAGGCCTGAAAAAGAAACGAGCAATAAAACTTGCAAGGTAGTTAAATGTAAAGACGCTTAAAGGAGCGTGTGTCAATTACATGTTTGTGGTATTTAATGTGTTTTATACTCAGAACAACACAAGAATAGATGACTCAAACCCATATACAGGTCTGTGGTTTGCAAATTCAGCCATTTCCTCTCATTCAGCTTGAACATTTGTTTCTGACTAACATGAGAAAACTAGTAAAGTATTCTGAGGAGCTGCCTGAAAAAAAATTTCCCCCTAAATCGTATTTTGTCTGTTACAAAAAACACTGACCAGTCATGAGCCTCACCTTATGCCCGACACTAAATATACAAGACATTAAAGTTGATTTGTGATGAAAATAATTTCAATTCAATTCAGTTTATTTATATAGCGCCAAGTCACAACAGAAGTCATCTCAGGGCACTGAACAGAAACATTCATATATAAAAATAACAATTTACCATTATTTATCAGAGGAGCAGACTGCTTTGAGTTTAACTCCATCACAGAACTCTCATCTTGAGCAAGCATGAGGGTGACAGTGGGAAAGAAAAACTCCCTCATGAAGAAGAAACCTTTAGCAGAACCAGACTCAGGACAAGCGGCCATCTGCTTCAACAGGCTGGGTTTGATAGGAACAGGAAGGAGGAACAGATACACAATGGCAGGTCAAGAATCATATGTTACAATAGAAATAGTATCAAATGAAAACTATTCAATTTTAACAAATCATTTAAGGAAATGAGGTTAATTTGTCCTCCAGTAATCTAAGCGTAAGGCAGCATAACAATCCAACTCTAACTATAGGATTCATCAAAAAAGAAAGTCTTAAGCCCAGTCTTAAAACTGGACAACGTGTCAGCCTTACGGACAGAAACTGGAAGTTGGTTCCACAGGAGAGGAGCCTGATAACTGAAAGATCTTTCTCTCATTCTGCTTTTGGAAATGCTAGGGATCGCGAGTAAACCTGCAGTCTGAGAGCGAAGCGCTCTGTTAGGAAAATATGGAACAACAAGATCTCAAATATAAGATGGAGCTAGGTTGTTGAGAGCTTTGTAGGTTAGAAGTAAGATTTTGAATTCAATTTTGAATTTGACAGGGAGCCACAAGAGAGAAGCTAAAACTGGAGAGATGTATCTCCTACTAACTCCAGTTAAGACTCTGGCAGCAGCATTTTGGATCAACGGAAGACCTTTTAAAGAAGTCCAACAATTTTCAATCAGGTCATCTGGACAGCTTCTTTTTTGTGCTGAAACGTTTCACCTTCCATCCAGAAGGCTTCATCAGTCAAGGAAACACACAGCACATTGTTGTGTGTTTCCTTGACTGATGAAGCCTTCTGGATGGAAGGTGAAACGTTTCAGCACAAAAAAAGAAACTGTCTAGATGACCTGACTGAAAATTGTTGGATTGTATTCCTGGATTATTGAGCATGAAGTTTGTTGGCTTTTAAAGAAGTATTTGTATCATGATCTGCCGTCAGGAGTGTTGAACCCAAATGCAGGAAGATGACAAGGAGGCTTGAGGTAAACATATTAAAATGTTTATTCTCCAAAAACAATATCAAAAGGCTGACAGGGCAGCCACTTACTGGTACAGAGAACAGATCAGGGCGGACAGGACGAGTGGCAGACCAAGACACCATTGAAGGACAATCCAGAGACAAAGACAAGACAAAAGAGAGCTGAATATATACACACACTGATTAGGACAACAACAGACACCTGTGGTCATTAACATGAGACACAGGTGAGACAGGGGCAGAACACAAGGAGGGAAAACACAGAGAGCTGAATCAGGAAACAAGAGGAAACGGATAGACTGGACAAAAACCCAGAAACCCTACAATTTGGACACCCAGATAACAAACCATTGCAATAGTCCAGTCTAGATGTGACAAATGCATGAACCAGTTTTTCTGCATAATTTTTAGATACGATGTTTATAATTTTAGTGATATTACACAGGTGGAAGAAGGCGGTTGTAGTAATGTTTTAATGTGGGGGATAAAAGACATGTCCTGATCAAAAATAACACCAAGATTTTGAACATTAGAGCTGGAGGGCAGATTAATGCCATCCAAGGAAGGCGAAAGACTGAAACATTTATTCCTAAGATGTTCAAGTCCAAATACTAAAACCCCAGTCTTATCTATATTCAAAAGCAGAAAATTTTGGGTCATCCAGGTTTTTGAGTCTTTAAGACATGCTTGTAGTCTAAGTAGCTGATTGGATTCATTGGGTTTCATGGACAAATATAACTGTGTATCATCAGTATAACAATGAAAATGTATCCCATGCTGTTTGATAACATTACCTAATGGAAGCATATACAAGGTAAAGAGAATTGTTCCAAGCACTGAACCTTAAGGAACTCCCTGACTAACTTTGGTGTATGATGAAGATTCATTATTTACATTTACAAAATGGAATCTATCAGATAGATATGATTTAAACCAATTTAGTTTAATAATCACGCTAAAGTACTTTGATGGTTTGTTTTTGGACCAGGTTGCACAGATGACATTTTCACAAGCGACCACTCGCCTGTTTTTGCCACTTTCCAAGTGGGAGTGTCGTCCCAGTGCGGCTCCAAAAAAGGTACGTTCATTAATGTGGATACATAGCAGGACTATCGTCTGAATTTTTGTTTGTTTGTTAAATGAACAAGACTGTCTTTATAATTCAAACAGATTTAAATTTCAGTGTGGAGAAGGCCTGGATTGAGCTCGAAGGTACTGACGCCATTGTGAAAACGGCAAGCAAGGCGAAGTTCTTCATAGAGTTTCATTCCTCTTGCCTTGAAGGTACGGCGACACATCAACGAGAGATCATGTGGAATAATGAAACTCTGTCAAGAAAATTAATTGTTGGCTTTGTCTGCAGAGACGCAGCGCTCCAGTGAGAATAATTCACAGAGCTGTGACGTTCCTGGGTTTCTCAAACTGGGCTGGTCCTCCAAACAGCTCCCCAAGGTGAGCGAATGAACGAATGGTTGAAAACATCATGTTACGGATTTGTTTTTGTTGACTTTTGTTTTGTTGTTCTGCAAAAGCTTTTTCCAGTTTCATCTGACATGGAGTATCTTCAGGACCAGCACCTGCTGTTATCTGTAAAGTCATGTGATGGATTCGAGTCATATGGTCAGTTGTTATTTTTCACATTTTCAACTAAACTATTCAAAAATATAGCTAAATTTTAGTGAGAACGGTAATCACTACCATTGAAATATGCACATCCCCTTTCCAAAACCAATTAATCAATTAAAACTTTATTCATGAAACCTCTGTTGGAGTTCAACACAAAGTGGTTTACAACAGCAAACAATAATAAAAAAAGACAACCAATAAATGAAATACGACAAACAAATGTGCTTATTAAACAATAGTAGCTGTAAGATGAAGGGACTGAAAAAAACAGGAAATACAAGTTTAATAATGAGAAAACCCCACATGGTCATAAATGATAAAACAAAAATGAGAGGGAAAGTTACATAAAATACAACTGAAGTTACTTTTGTTTCCTCAAAACAAACACAAAGTATTTAGAATTGAGTATAAGTAATTTAAATTAAAATCAATTACAATAATTAAGAGTTAAACTAGAGGCATAATAAAACAAACAAAAAAAAAAAATACAAGACTTGCTCAAATTTGTTACTGAATAATTTCACTAAAAGCCAGCTTGAAGTGTCTTCTTGTTCTCAGAAAGGCTGCTCCACGGCGAGAACCTTAATAAGAAATTAATTCTTTACATATTTAGTTCTAAATGTAGATACAATAAAAACCTTGAGGGATCTGGAGAATAAATAAAGGTAATACCTTAATGAGCTGTGACTAGTGGCGACTAGTTGGGGAACAGCATTCAGCAAAGTCTCCAGAATGTCTTGTGATGTTTTATCGTGGTTTTCATTTTTTTCACAGGAGTCAGAAAGGCTCTCAGCTTTTTCACTTGAATATTTAATATGTTACAAAAAAAAAACAAAAAAAACCCTAAGAATGTGCCATAAGTTTTTGTTCAAGTCAGTCATAGATCATCACAAAATTATTGGATCTCTTCATGACTTTTTAGAGGGCATCTCCAAACCAAATTGGGAGCTCTCCTTTGCCAAAAACATATCCAGGTCTAAAAAACACACTAAAAATAAATGTTAAGCATTAAAAACCAAGTCTAAATCTGCCTATATTTCAAGCACACATTCCAGCAGATTAAATCATAAATGTGAGCATGGTGGTCACAGCTACAAAGCTGAGGTGGGTAAGATGTGGGCAGAGGTTGGAAAGGAAATAATGTTCAAGGTCTGGAGCATTGTTTTTCCTTTCAGCTGCTCCTTTCTGCAGGGGTCGCCACAGTGAGAGAGCAAGCAGACACAAAAGATTTGGAAAATGTTTTACGTTGGGTAACCTGAGCTCGAACCCGCAGCATCAAAATTACAAGATCTCGGCACTGACGAACGAGCTACCACGGCCCCCTGCAAGATCTTGAATACAGTTTTGAAAGCCGTAATTAAAATAAACTGGCCATTCAAATTGTGGCAGCATGGCTTGCTGGTCGCTCAGAATCCAGTGAGACTGCAACAGAAAGTTTGAACATTTTCTTGTATTACTGAATCCAGTTTGAGTCGTTTTGAGTCTCCAACTGTTGCAGCTCAGTGAGATACAACCTGACGGTATTTTTCATTGAATTAAACCTTTATTTAGACATATTAATCACAATGAGACTTGGGGAGTCATTTACAAGTGAGACCTGTTTAGACAGACAAAAAAGTAATGAAAGTGACAACATGTATAGGAGTTGGAGGCAAAAAAATATCCTAACAGGCTCTCATTCCTTGGCCGAGGAAAGATAGCCTGAAATTGAAAAAAACACCCCGCACGCAAGCACATAGTGACACAGACATTCCGCAGGGAAGGGGAGACGACAAGGGTGGTGAGCGTGTCCAAGGACACTCCAGAGTAACTGTAGGAGGTAACAGCGAGTCTGATAACTGGGCGCAACTAAGACCATTAAAGACCTTAAAAGCCATTTAAAGAACCCTAAAATCAACTCTAAAACACTCATGCACCCAGTACAGAGGCCTTAAAGCAAATGTGGTGGTTAGTTGGGGTTAAACCTAATTAAACATGCTTGAAATTGACTTTCACATTCACGTCATTAATAATAATAATAATAATAATAATAATAATAATAATAATAATAATTTTCTAGGTGAATGTTGTGTGGCGCTGGGCTCCCTGATCGGCGCGTCACAGAAATTTGAGACATTTTTGAGTCACCGGGGTGAGGAGATGGGCTCCATACGAGGACGGGTCAGAGTCCATGTGCCCAAAGACAGACGGACGACTCGGAAGAAAATCTATGGTGGGTCATCCAAAAATATTCTGCCCTTTATCACTGCCTTGCTTGCACTCTCACTTCCCACTAAATCTCCCCTATCACTGCATTCTCCAACTCTGCTGCGACTCTCACACTGCTTCCTCTATATGGTTCCTCAATGACCCCGTGGCTCGGCTTTACACACTTGCTGGTATCTATCGACTGCTTCCTCTTTTTGGCTCCTGATTGGCTGACCCTGGCCAGATGCATCCTGAGACACTGAAACAGGACATTTGGGTAATATGCCACCAGGTCAGGCAGAACACACACAGAGACCTTTTGCACATGCAACCCACAGACTGTGAAGAAATTTGTCTCATTACAAAACTAGTCTTTCATTTCTTGTAACTTGACTTTTTCAGATATGTTCTGTTTTGAAAAAGATGATAAAAGTCCTGGGAGGGGACACGCGTCTCCTGCACTAACACGACTCCCAGTCACTAGGTAAGGACCACTAATTATTATACATATTTGTGCAATGCAGCAAAAATGCTTAGATTCTCAAGGGAAAGTTCTCAAAAGATGAATAAAAATTTAATTTTCTTCCCATAAATATGACACTCTTGTTTCTTGCAGCTGTGTTTTAATTTAGAGGTGCCTGGAGCTGAGGCAGACTTTCTCGGTCATTTGCTTCAGTGGACCTTCTTATCCTAAGTCAGGATAAAGAGTCGAGAAATCTAATCAGGATAATGCAACTGGGATTTAAAGCCTTTTCATCCCTTGGAGCTGATTCCTATTTCCAACAGTCTGTGCAAGAAGTGGGGTACACCCTGAGCAGGTTGCAAATCCATCACAGGCCACATAGAGAAAAATAGCTATTCACACGCTCACTCAAACCTAGGAACAATTTAGAGATCAACTAACCTAACATGCATGTGGTCTGTGGAAGGAAACTGGATCACCCAAAGAAAACCCATGTGTGCACAGGGAGAATATGCAAACTCCATCCAGAAAGGTCCAGCTGATCCTGTACCTCCCTAAGACAATGAAACAATTTTCGTTGTAGTTTTGTATAAGTTTGCATCTGAAAGAGAAATAATTATGTCCACAACCCTGTGAAAGTAAGAGCAGTAAATTTTAGCAGTGTGTTAGAGAAGAATCATGCAAACCAGTGCAGGAAGTGGGCTGGAACGAGCATCTTCCTTAAAACCTTCTGATACTCAACATCAATGTCACCAACTGTCAGCCACATTCATATATTCATATATTCAGTCATATAAAATATATTACTCACAGGACATCGGGTAAAAACAGGAAGCTGTGAAACGTTCAACACTGCTTTTGGGATCAGGTGAGGTTTGACTCTTGATAAATGATGGTTGGTTAAAAATTAAGCACAAGGAGCCAATCAGAGGCACGGATGGTGATGCATCAATATAACTGTCCCCAAAATAATTTGCGCCTCATCTCAGAAGCATCCACAAAGCAGGAAAATAAAAATAACCAACAAAATGTGTTTCAGGTTAGAAAGACTCCTCATCATGGCTGATTATTCCAGTGATTCTTCATTATTAAGTTAAAGGGGGACACAGATTCTGGCAGGTGGTGTGGACTTCTCTTCCAGAATAACGTACTTTCTTTCTCCCACTTAGAACATCCATCCATCCATTATCTTTACCCGCTTATTCCATTTTGGGTCACGGGGGTCGCTGGTGCCCATGTCCAGCAATCACTGTGCGAGGGGCGGGGTAAACCCTGGACAGGTTGCAGGTCCATCACAGGGCCACATAGAGACAAACGAGGCAAACAACCATTCACTCTCTCACTCACACCTAGGGACAATTTAGAGTTACCAATCAGCCTAACATGCATGTTTTTGGTCTCTGGGAGTAAACCGGAGTACCCGGAGAAAACCCACGCATGCACGGAGAGAACCTGCAAACTCCACCCAGAAGGCCCCTGGACTGGTGTTTGAACCAGGGACCTGCTCGCTGAGAGGCAGCAGCTCTACCAGTTGCGCCACCGTGCTGCCCCCACTTAGAACAATAATATCAAAAAATGTAATGCATCCAATCTAAACTGTGTCTTGGACCTCAATGCAAACGCAACATACCCGTAAGTGAAATCTTCAAGTGTTTAAGTTCTACTTTGGTTAGAAAACACCCAATGGGGACTTACAGTGCTTGATTTTTGGTAGAGAAAAGGCCTCCTTTGGGGTCCTGACAACTGTTGAATAGGCTCAGTGTTGACTGACTAAACTGCAAAAAGTCTTCAACACAACAGCTGACGAGGTTACATCATCTTGTGAGTCTAGATCTTTCACTAACAGTGGAAACAGAAAAAGCTGAACGAGGGAGGAAGCGGCTCCTAGTGTGGACATTTTTTTTAATTTTTTTTTTATCAGAGCTTTATGTAGACCCTGTACCTGCGGTGTGCCCCTTGAGGTTTCTCTTCAGCTTTAGTCCAGTTATGATACTCAAATGGGTTTTAGTTTTCTGAAATTTAAGGTTAAGGAAGACATTTCATACTGATAATTGGAATTAACTTTCATTAACGTTTGCATGCTGTTCATGCTACTCTTCACAGGCCATCTGGAGTACCTGTAAAAGTGACTCCGAGCAGCTACACCAACCCTGCCTACTTCATCTTCGAAGGCGTATCAGTCCCACCCAAACTGGAGGAGCCTCTGCCCCAGCGAAGGGACCTTCAGCTCATCTGGTCTGGTAAAGTGGCCTTGCAGCTCCCAAAAGTTTCAGCCCATTCGAGGTTTGACAGGAGAAGTTGTCACAGGTCAGACTTTACCGAAATTGAAATTCCGGCCATCCTGTCCCAGTGCTCTCCAGCCACTGATTTTCACCCCCCCCAAAGGGACTCCTCTTATCAGCTTTTTCCAGTTCAGAACCCTTCTCCAGTGCCCCCACTTTCAAGTAACACCAGACCACAGTACCAAGTGCAGACGTCACAACTCAGAAACCAACACCAAGGGAAAATGAATGTTCAGGACTCCATGCAGCCTGAAAGCAGCATAAGGAACCTGTACATGAATCACTCTGCAATCATGAAGGAAAAATCCAGACAAGATAAACACCAGCTTTTCCCAGCAAGGACAAACGCAATCCAAACAGCAAAGATGCCATCAGCTCTGCCTTATACCCCCACTCACCTGGCACACTGTCACACCTCTGCTTCCTGGATCAATAATCAGTCAGTGATTAATAAACACTTTCCGGAGCCAACGGGAGACAACTCTCTCACCGCTTTGCAAATTGCCAAGTCCCTCAGCGAGGTGGACTTTTTCCCATCAGAGAAAAAATGCCAGCAAACAGTCAGGCAGAGGGCAGGCTGCAGAAACGGTCCTTCCAAACATGGAGACAGAGGCTACGTGTGGGAGAAAGAGGTATGACCCGCTCACAAAGATGGCTCTTAAATGATACTACAGACAGTTCTTTGTTTCTTAGTGTCTGTTTTATCTCAAAGCAGGTGTCAGTCCTCAAAGGTGCACCAGAAACTGTGCAGGAGCTTCTTAGTACTCTAGGTCTTCAAAAATACACCTTGGGTCTTAGCCTCAGTGGCTGGGATGATCTGGATTATTTCAGGTAAATTAATTTGAAATCATACATAGAATATTTAATTATAAGAATAAAGTTATCATTGCTTTGTCACAGACAGGAATTTTTTTAAACAAGCCCCATTCTTGTGGATCTAGACCAGAGGTTCTCAAACTTTTTGGGTTCAGGGACCCCCTGATAACCCTCATGTTTGTTTCCTCATGAGGAAGTCTTTTGGATGAAAGATGAAACGTTTCTACAATTTTTTTTTTAATGTCCAAAGGACCAGATTTAACTTTTTTAGAACCCTCATATTTGTTAAATAATTTTCTTCTATTTGTCTCTTTAATGCAATTGAAATATTTGTGCAACATAAATACTTAAGACCTGTTCTTTAATAGTGTTAATAGCAGGGAGACAGGCGGAGCTCCTTCTAGCTCGCTCTGAATTTTCTCGTTGGCCCCCAAGCACAAAAAGAGCATTCGCTTCAGCATTAGACCACGGTGTTGTCATTATTGTTTGTAAAATCTTAAAAATAGGTCCAGTTGCTCCTCGAGTTCGAGTTATTGCAAATGGCGGATCGGGTTGTTGTGAAAGTTTCTCAAACAACCAGTGACACCACCCCCTGACCAATCAGTGACTGACAGTGTTCTGAAGTCACGTTTTAGGGTCAGTTCAGCACGGTTGGAACCCCAGAGAAAAAAGGACTGAAAAAGGGACCAGTTTTATAAATCGTTGCTAGTGGAAAAGCCTTGGAACCGTGCCGAGTCGAGTCGAACCGTGCTGTACCGTTACTAATGGAAAAGGGCCGTATGTTAGTCTAACCCACAGATGAGCCACTCTGGTCACATGGATGAAATTCCTGATAGGTGTGAAAATGACTGGGTATCAGGTCGATGCATTATAGGTTTTTGAATTCTGAGACCTCCTGTTTAAAGATGGTTTCTCTCGTTTTACACAAACGGCTTCCTTCACTCCGCTCTCATGAACTAAACTTTATCCAAGTATACGTTAAGATTTTTCTGTTAATCATAGTTTCAAAAAAGACAGAGGTAAGACCATTTGTGTTTAATTAATTTTAGTTTGATAGTATTTTATCAAATACTGTTATTCTTTATTATGTCTCACTGCATTTCACCTTAGGTTGTGTTTTACACATCAGCAGCACCAGACTTCGTACAAAAATGTTTGCAGCAGTGAATGTGAAGTCTGTTCAAAGAGTTTTGTTAGAAAATTGTCACAACGCAGTCAAGCTAAAAGCCACAAAGAACAGAATCTGTGCAAGATCCTACCTCTACAATTTCAAGTCTTCAACCCAAATCTAAAAAAAAAAGCCTGGCTGAATACAAATGTAGGTAGTTTTACATCTTGTAACTTATGTATCAGGCAGTAGTTGTTACTTGGTTGTCGGCCGAGCAAAGTTTGAACAACACCAATCTATGGAGGACGGAATGTGACTAAAAGAAATAAATAACCTAACTCACCTGAAGAAATAATTAAAAGGTATTAAAGTGACTCGTGCAAAAATTGCAAAAGATGCAAAAACACAAAACTATTCCAGCATAAGAATTTCTTCCTGATTCTCCAAAATGAAATCATTCTGTTGTTTACTGCTCATAAATATTTCCCACAACTCCCCGTTAAAACCAACAATCACTTTCAGTTTTCATTTGTGTTTCTTTGTAAAAACCACAAAGTCTGTGATGAAGCCAACTCATCACAGACTTTGTGTAAGCTGCTCTTCCTGTATTACCCAAGTGTTATGTTCCTGAAAACTCAAAATATACACAATTTCAGGGTCAAACAAAATGGTCTAGATCAATGGTTCTCAAACTGGGGTCCCCGGACCTCCGGAAGTCAGCAAGGTGGTGCTTGGGGGTCCACAAAAAAAAAAAAAAATTATATATATATATATATATATATATATATATATATATATATATATATATATATATATATATAATTTTTTTTTTTCATGTCGATCATGTCGATGTTTAACAACCCGTTAAAATCCTCCAAAATGTAGGAAATAGCATCTACTTTATTCAAAATTTTTCTGGGAGAGGAACCCAGGAACCCGCCCACTAGAATTGTTAATGGATACATAACTCATACTATGCCAAGCCAAGTCAAACTGTGCTATACCGGTACAAATGGTACTAATAGAACTAATGGAACTAATGGAACTAATGGAACTAATGGAAAAGAGGCAAAAGCCCCTAATGAGCCCCTATTGTGAGGAGTGATAGGGCAATCTGCATATGTATCTAGCATACCTCAGCTTTATAACTCGAACCCCACACTTCTGTTCTTTGAATTGAGAAAGCTCCTCGGATGAGAAGCAAAACTTCTTCTGTTACAAAATCAAGTCCAGTTGTTTTTGTCTTGAACTTTTTTGAATTTAGTTCACATGGGTTACAAACTTTTGCTGTGAAAATGTGACAGAGAGCAAAACATTTTGTGGCCAAATAAAATAGGGGAGTCCAATAATGGTCAGTCGGGTCATCTGGACAGTTTCTTTTTTGTGAAAAGACGTTTCGCTCTCTAGCTGGAGGGCTTCATCAGTCTGAGGAGTCCCAACTGTTTTCCCCACTAAGCAGTACACTGCTTTAGTGGACCAACCAGTTTGCTGGTGATAAGATGGTTTCTGGGGGCTGTCCTGTCCCCCGTCGACTCCTCCCAGGCAGGCAGCCACAGCCAAAGTGATTCAATACATCAAGGTTTATGCTTAATAATCCAGGTACAAAGTCCAATAATGGTCAGTCACACAGGACGGCTCCCAGAAACCATTTTATCACCAGCAAATTGGTTGGTCCACCAAAGGAGTGCACTGCTTAGTGGGGAAAATAGTTTACTTGGGACTCCTCAGACTGATGAAGCCCTCTGGATAGAGGGCGAAACATCTTTCCACAAAAAGAAACAAAAAAAGAAACAAATAAAAAGATGACCTGACTGTTATTATTATTGGATTTTGTACCTGGATGATTGAGCATGAACTTTGAAAAAATAGAGGAATATTTATCATAAGGAAGTCGGTCTGTACAAATAGCCTTGTTTAACAACTGATTTCAAATATATGAATCACTTCTTTTAGGTGAAACACAAATGAAAAGTATAATTTTCTCCTGGAAGTCATGTAAACTCCGATAACATCTTTATTTAAAAGCATTTTTCTTTCTGTACACATCAAATCTGAACTGGTTCACTCCTCTTTGCCTCCAACAGTGGCATCACTGAGGAGGATCTGTGTGCTGCGGGGGTAACTAACCCATCACACCGACGCAGGATCCTGGAGAACCTGCCCAGGAACTGGACCTGACAGGACCACGATGGTGCAAAGTTTGGTCACAACTAGAACTGGAAAAGACTTTCAACAGCTGAAAGAATGACATTCTGAGGCTCCGACACATCGGCCAAAAGACTGCAGTGTTTTCCATGTGCTGGATTTATACTGTAACTGTTCATCTGTTCCAACACAGAGAAGAAGAACATAATATATGAAGGACTCTTTGCACATTATATTTTCTTTATCTACCAACTTTAAAACTTATAACTGGAGGGAAACAAACCGTTCGTGTGTGTCTTCATTTTGTGACAAATAACAAATGCTATTTTGATATTTTTGGCTTCTTGTATGTTTTAATGATTCATGCATTGCTATAAAATTACAGTTTCTATTGTCAGTGTTCATCAATGTTTAAATTTCACTTTGTGCTTAGCGTCAAGTCACAACAGAAGTCATCTCAGGGCACTGAACAGAAACATTTATATATAAAAATAATAAGTTAACATTATTTATCTGAGGAGCAGACAACTTTGAATTTAGCTCCATCACATAATCTCATCTTGTGCAAGCATGAAGGCGACAGTGGAAAGGAAAAACCCTCATGAGGAAGAAACCTTTAGCAGAACCAGGCTCAGGACAAGCGGCCATCTGCTTTGACGGGCTGGGTTTGAGAGGAACAGATACACAATGGCAGGTCAAGAATCACATGTTAAGATAAAAATAGTATCAAATGAAAACTATTCAAATTTAGCAAATCATTTAAGAAAATGAGGTCAGTGTGTAATTTAGTAGTCTAAGCCTATGGCAGCATAACAAGCCAACCCTAACTATAGGATTTATCAAAAAGGAAAGTTTTAAGCCCAGTCTTAAAACTGGACAATTTGTCAGCCACATGGACAATAACTGGAAGTTGGTTCCACAAGCAAGGAGCCTGATAACTGAAAGATCTTCCTCCCATTCTGCTTTTGGAAACTCTAGGGACCACGAGTAAGCCTTCAGTCTGAGAGTGAAGTGCTCTGTTGGGAAAATATGGAACAATAAGATCTCGAATATAAGATGGGGCTAGGTTGTTGAGGGCTTTGTAGGTTAGAAGTAAGATTTTGAATTAAATTCTGTACTTGACAGGGAGCCAGTGGAGAGAAGCTAAAAGTAGAGAGCTATGATCTCTCCCACTAACTCCAGTTAAGACTCTGGCAGCAGCATTTTGGATTAAGTGAAGACTTTTTAGAGAAATATTTGGACACCCAGATAACAAACCATTGGAATAGTCCAGTCTAGACATGACAAATGCATGAACCAGTTTTTCTGCATCATTTTTAGATAAGATGTTTCTAATTTTAGTGATATTACACAGGTGGAAGAAGGCAGTTCTAGTAACATTTATAATGTGGGGGATAAAAGATTTGTCCTGATCAAAAATAACACCAAGATTTTTAACATTATAAGTGGAGGCCAGATTAATGCCATCTAAGGAGGGAGAAAGACTGAAACATTTATTCCTAAGATGTTCAAGTACAAAAGCCAAAACCTCAGTCTTGTCTGTATTCAAAAGCAGAAAATTAATTAATATTGAATAAACAATACATGAACATTAATTAACAACATAACATTTTATCACATCTACAGAAAAAAGTAAACACAAGCACCTGCCATTTTGTTGACTGTTTCATTCTGTTTCTATGGTGTCACGTAGGCCACTGCACATGCTTTATGTAGCGTTTGTGAAACAGATAAATCAGCATTTGACTGTCATAGAGCAATCACAAGTGTCATCTCACGATCATGGGCAATAAGAAAAGACAGATATCTACTTTTTATGGTGCTCTCTTCCATTTCAGAGATAATCTACAAACCTGATGTTGTTTCATGAAGCCAATTTAAAGGTTTAGTGCTGCTAATGTTGTGGACTTTGAGAAGCAACACGAGTCTGAACTTGAAGGGATAGTTCAGCTCTTTTGAAATATGATTCTGTGGAAAGTTGTGAAATATTAATATGTCACTTTTTGTATAGGGCTTATAACCTCATATGGATGAAGGCTAACCTCACATGGTTAGTTCAAGACAAAAGTGGATTGCTGCCAAATCTGTGGGAAATGGGTTGCACATGCTGCAGCACCTCATGATGAATAACAGAGGACATAAACCAGCAATAGATTAAGTTATGATAGCAGTTTTATAGATATTACACCATATTTTTAATGTACATATCTAGGAGAACATTAACCTTTATTTAACGAGGCAAATCCCATTGAGATCACAAATGTCTTTTGCACTGGAGGCTGGGCCTGAAGACATCCTAACATGCATGTTTTCGGCTGTGGGAGGAAACTGGAGTACATGTACCTGAAGAGAACCCACACAAGCACGAGAAGAACATGCAAACTCCACACAGAAAGACCCCAGGTCCAACCGGGGATTGAACCCAGGATCTTTTTGCTGTCAGTCAACAGTGCTAACCACTGATCCATCGTGCTGTGCACATTTCATTGCTTATAGTTGGTTTTATGTTTATCTTCACGAGTGTATAGGCCTCACAGATGCACACATGCTCACTGCACCCCCTAACTATAACACATTTCCTCCAATTAAAAAATAAATAAATAAATCACAGCTGTTCATTCAAACTCTTTTATAATTCCATTAAAAAGGTCAAAAAACAAAACAACTGGACTTCTATTGTACACGACTACAACTGGTCCAGAATGCTGCAGCCCGATTTTTAACCAGTACAGGCAAAAGAGAGCACTCTACACCAGTTTTGGCCTCACTGCACTGGTTACCGGTTCACTTTCGAATCCAGTTCAAAATACTCATGTATGTCTACAAATCACTGAACAGTGTCTTAAGCGCAGAGGTGACAGGGCCTTCTCTGTAGCAGGACCAAGACTCTGGAACGAGTTACCTCTGTTTGTCAGACAGGCCCCCTCCCTCTCGGTTTTCAAGTCTCGTTTAAAAACTCACTACTATTCAGTAGCTTTCAACACCAGATGATCTGTGTTTTGAACCTGTATGCTCCACACTGGTTTGTCGTCATTATCTGCATCGTTTTTATGTCTATGTTCTGATTTACTTCATTTTGTATTTTGCTTTGTGTGTTACCTGTTGTTCTGTCTGTACAGCACTTTGGTTGGCCTTGTCACTGTTTTAAGTGCTCTATAAATAAAATGGTATGGTATGGTATTCTGTAGCTGAAAATGCTTTGCTTCCCATCTGGGAGGCTTTTTCAATATTGTATTACTAATTAAAATTGTAAAATGGCTTTACTATGTGACGTTAAATTGACAGTGATTAAAAAAAGAGTATGAAATAAGTTTAAATGAACCACTATGACATTTTAAAATTGTTTTCAAATGGCAACAATCCACTTCAGTGGTTAGATCATCAATCTGTTCAGAAGTGAACTCGTTCTCCAATCTAAGGTTGTTGAAAGAGTTATCAACAACAGGTAAGATATTTACGTCTCAATTTTTTTTCACGAAACCCCACTTGATCTTGTATTGGTGTGGCTTCTCTCAGCAGAACCTACTGACAGTCAGATCTGTGCTTTCTCCTGCTCAACTGTTTTATTCAAATATAAATATTTAAAGAAAGCTAAGTCGCTGTAAATGCTGTAGCTGGACGGACTTCTCACATTCTAGATGCACGTTCGCCTCCCTCAAAAATGAAACACATAAATAATGATGCACTCATGGAGGCTGCACAAGTACCAGCATACTGCAAGCTCCAAATATACAAATATTGCACTCATATTTATTTTACCAACACACACTTTATTTAAACATTGCTTTCAAAGATATACAAAAAAATTCTTAGCCCAGATTCAGCTTTTTCTTCTGAATACAGAACGCCTGAAACAGTGAACACATCTGAAACATTAATGATATTGTTCAAGTAATAGCAACTTTTTCAAACAGAGATGAGACATCGGTGACTCTAGATCCTAAAAATACCTCCTGAATATTCCACTCGGTGTGAGAGCACCTGTGTTTTGTGCTTACAGCGTCCAGAAATGTAGTTACTGATTAAGGCTCAGCCAAACATGACTGTTGACAGCAGGTATGTGTCAGTGACCGCTAAGTCACCGACTTACTGTGGTGATATCATCACCTGTAGAAGTGCTGAATGGGAATGTCTCCTAAAAAAGAGCCATCCCAAAAGTGCAACCACATACTTTTAGGGAAAAATACAAGAAGACTGTGGAAGCACACACATTTATGTTTTTTGAGTTGTTAGATAAAAACCCTGAATGACATAAATGTCCTAATCAGCTTAGTTTCTACATCGATTTTTGTGAGAAGATCTACAAATAATGTTTAAATACAGCTATTACAAACAGGAAACAATTCAGAGTGAAGTGGACATGTTTAATCTACAAGTCTTAATGATTATTACAAATGAAAATCTATCTGAGGCATTTGTTTATCCTGGAGCCACTAACTACAAATTTGGCCGTTTCAGACCTGGCACTCCCTAAAAGCAAAGTGTCCTTGGCTGACACACTGAACTCCAAGTGGCTTCTGATGGCAGACCAACACTGTGCATGGCAACATCTCCTCTGTTGGTAAATGAAGTGTGTGCACGTGTGTGTGCGCTTGCAGTGCTGTCAAGGTTAAAAGTTGCCCTATAAGTGAAAAACCATTTAATGGTTTTTTGCCGCTTTGTTAGTGGCCCACTCACACTTTGCAGACATCCAACAGTCAAACAATTCATTCAAAAGCGCACGTTTTCATTAACGCGTGCACAAAAAACATCTGTTCCCCGCTCGACAGTACAGTCCATCGTGCTCTCCATGGTTTCCCCTCTAAATCTCTTTGTTAAACATTTGTCCGATGTGTGTTATATGCTACATTTCAAACGACAGGGCTGTTTTTACCTTCATCAGCTCAAAATGGGAGTTTCTATTGAATGAATGAATGATTTTAACGTTTGCACAAAATGGCTGCTGCTCCTGTTTCACTGGCCATGTGTTAGTAATTTCTTAGTAAAACAAGCTGAGGAGGCTGCACCCGCTCTCAAATGGCCCAGCTTCCTCTCAGCGGCCCCTGACCTGAGCATGCACCGGCCCCCATAAGGTCTGGCTGAGTTTCACTTTGAATTTTTGCTGCATTGTTAATGGAAACTTTCATCGCGTGTCAAAGTATCAAACTTGTCGGGGTTTGTTTAGTGACAAGGTTTACACTGGTTAGCAGTTCCAGCAGATAACTCGACATGAATTATTCTGCACGCTCAAACATGTAGTGATATGGTTACATTAGCTGTTGCACA